CTATTAGAGCACTTCGCTCTCGCTCTGCAGGCCTACTTGTTGTTCCTAGAGTATTTAAAAGTAGAATGGGAGGCAGAGCCTTCAGTTTTCAGGTGGTGCACAAAAAACAAAAACATGTGAACACCATCTATTCTCCCTCACCCCAGATGCTTAAGTGCTAAAGTTCCCCTCCTGTCATGCATTAAGAGATTTTAACCTCTGGCTACTTTTCAGTGCGTCAGGCTGTGTTTACTCGACATTTCTATTAACATCTTTGCAACAAATGTGTTTCAAATATAGTCAGATTTTGTAGATTCTCCCTCCCCCCTTTAGTCTTCAGAGAGAGAGAGCGCTCCACACAAGCCTTTATTTCTCAAAAGTCACAAAAATCTCAGAAACTTATTTTCCCAAAACTTAAATTGCACAAGTATAATGAAGAATTTTCTTTCGTCTCTATAGTCTTCTAACATGCTGCATCAGCACTGAATATATTCTGATGTCCACATTTATACAACTGAAACAATCTGAGTGACAAATTGCATCATGTGGAAAAGCTGAACTAAACAAAAATCAATTTTTAAATACTTAAAAATGTTTATAGCAGCAAACAAGAAGCAGATTTACTGTTATATTCAGTGTAAGTTGTAAACGTGGAGATGATGGCCACTGAAACTGACGTTCATATTTGATCCCAAGTCTTCAAATGAGCGTCAAAGTGAACAGAAGAGAAATTATTTGCAGTATTTCCTTCTTAGCTCAGTCGCCCACACACCAACAACTGTGGAGCTCGTTCTCCCACCTCCGCACCCCAAGTGACATTAATGACAAAAATCAGAACTGCTTCTTGTTGCTCGAGTGCCTCAGTGCGGTTCTGTAATGTCTGTAATTATGTGGGTGATTGATCTATTGCTTAATTTTTTGTGCACTGAGTGATTACTGTCGACATGTTGCAGAGTAATGGAGTCCTGTGGAGGCACGACTGTGGGTTTTGGACTACGGCGCCGCTTTAAAAGGTCACTTAGAACAAGTTTACAAAAGACTACAAACAAAATGGAACATACGAAATCTAATAAATGTAGAACAGACTGAAAACAGACTGCTGTTGAATCAGGTGTCTCAGTTAAGGAGATGAGACTGGAAGTGCGCCCGGACTTTGCTTTTTGTCCTCCAAAAATGTGGGGTGAAACCTACAGGCTGAGAGGTGCTGTCGAGATGTAGTTGGGATTCTCTGCCTGCCTTCTTTTCTGGCTCCAATCGGTACCAAAAAATAAAGATGAAAATACCAAATAAGACCATAAATTCACAAAGACGTCTTTAATGAAGACATTGAAAACGGAGCTGAAGGATTTTGGCAGGACAGCAGTCTGTGAGCTGAAAAGTGTCTGGAAGAGAAAATGCTGTTTAGAGGAAAAAAACCACTGCACACCAAAACGAAGTCATCAACCGTGAAACCAGAGGAGAGAAAAGCAATTGGACTGTAGGAGCTTCTTGTTGGTGTAGAGGTGGTGCGATTTCAAAAACATGAATGCCTGTAATAGACAAACCTTCACTGTCCATCCATCTGATTCAGTGAAGTCCAGGCTTTGGTTCCTCCGTCACATCTGCTCAAACTTTATTCTCTATGATCACCAGCAGTTGGACCGAAAATGGCTTCTTGATGCATGTTCGATCATCCAGGTAAGCAAACCTTACCTGGATGATTGAAAAGCTGCTGTTTGGAAAACTTTAACCCTAATCTGACCACAAACATGCAAAGATCATAAGCATGCACTAGTCTTCCCATAATCCCAACAGTATCATTATTCTGTCTGTTTATTTAGATTGCACTATTTTAGATGCTTTACACTTCAAGTTAAGACCCCACAATATCTTCAACATAATATCAAAACAGGAGATGTTATAAAAAAGAAAACTCAGAATATTATGATTGAAACAAACTTTTAATGTAGTGTAGAAAAGAAGAAAAATCGGGTGTTGAGTGTAGTGATCTAAAGAGAACTAAAGGTAGGCACAAGTCCCGAAAACGTATCCTGGGGAAAACACTCAGTCATGACTTTAACTGCAGGAAGGCGATTGGCTACCACAGCAGCACCAGACGGACTTTTTCTCACACTTGGTCACAATTTGCTCCTCGTCTCAGATAAAGTGCAGAAGCTTTCAAACGTGCACATGAAGT